TTGGCCAGGGCTGGGCTGCACACTCGAGCCTTGAGGGAGGCGAGGCAGGGGTGGAAGGAGACGAAAACGGGGTCATGTGGCTAACTCCGAACCACGACAACTTCAACCTTAGGGGGCCACATGCGAACCGTACCCCTACCCCCCACGATTTCTGGGGTGGAGGGTGGGGTTCACTTCGCTCGGTAGCTCCCGAACCTATTTAACCCCACCCTCCCCCTCAGAAATCGTGGGGGATAGGGGTAGTGTTCGCATGTGGCACCCCTAAACCTGGCTGATCGCCTCCACAAACGGGAACACACCAGGGCCGGTGGACACATCTGCAGTCAACCCGCACAGGAAGGATGAGCGGCAATACAGGGTTACGCCTTGCATCCTTCCAAGCGGCCCATCCTTGGTTGCTTTCGCTGGCCAGCCCCGCTTGAAAAACGTCGACATCAAACCTCCGAGGCCTTGCACGCTTATCGTGCAGCCCCGACACGCTGTAGACTGCGGCAAGTACACTGCCGGCGAAAGCGGCCGCGCATAAGGCCATGCAGGCTCAGCTGGCACACCGCCTGGCAACTGATATGGAATCGATTCTGGTCAGGGCACGCGTTTCCGCCCAAGCCGGTCGTCTGGAGGCGACGTGCGGGAGCTTCCGCCACATGCATCGGCGCTGGCGATGCTGTACCCTGTCCTCCTCCCCTGGCCAGTCGCACTTAGCAAGTTGGGTCGCAAGTGCGAAGGCTGGACCACCTGGAGGTAAACCCCTCACAATCGGTCCGCGGAGCTCGTGGCACGGGTTGCGCGCTCCCCGCTGGGCTGTCGGGCAAAATGCCTCGCCCGTCATGGCTGCACAGTCATGAGCTGCGAAGTTCCGCGCTTCGCGGGCGGCAATGAGTTGAACTAGGGCCTGCGACTGATGGACGTGAGATCCCCTGATGGGTTCAGGAGATTGGCGGCACCGTGGGATCCTGATCTACTGACGGGTATTGCCATGGACTGCATGCTGCATGCGCACGGGCGGAGATCCGACCCAGAGATGCCGACAACTACGATGGTCAGCGTCTCTCCCTTTTTTTTGTTCTCTCTCCCTCTCTCCCTCTCTCTCTCCGTCTTCTGGTTCACCGATGTTGCGAAGCGCTTGCGCAGCTGCAGTTGGCTGCCCAAAGCTTCAAGCGTGCGCAGGGCTCCAGGGGGGGAGGAAAGACACGCGAGGGGTCGGGGCCCGACCCTCGCTGGAGAAGGCACGCCGTCCTCAAAACGCAGCACCGCACGGGGCGAAGGCCGGGGGGCCCCCCCACGGGGCCAGACGCCCCCTTCTCTGGGGAGCAACATGCCTTGCTGAGGCTGCGGATGGGAAGGGCTCGTCTTCTCGCCCCTGATTCTCCGTCCCGTCCCCCCTTGCCGCCACCTCCCATCGGAGTGGTGGTCGTCACGTGAGCCCGCCCACGCATCACACTCTTGCGGCCACGGCCTCCACGCCATGCCCTAGTGGGCACGGGCGGGCTCCCCGGTGGAGCGCGCACGACTCTGGCGTTCGCTTCGCTTCGCTTCGCTTCGCATCGCATCGCATCGCATCGCTTCGCTTCGCTTCGCTTCGCTTCGCTTCGCTTCGCTTCGCTTCGCTTCGCTTGCCACTTCCCGCCCGCTTGCTAAGCTGTCGCACCCTGCGACCGGTCCACTTCCAGAGTAGGCCTGCGCCTGCTGGCTCTCGAGGCGTTGGCATGCCCTCGTTGGCTCCGCTGCTGCCTTTGCTCTGTGCTCTGCACCCTTTGGCCATCTCGCCTTACTCTCGCCACCACGCGCTTCGACCTTCCTGCGCTTCGACCGACCAATCGACGACCGAGGAGGAGGGGGAGGAGGAGGTGGAGGAGGAGGAGGAGGGGGAGGAAGAGGATGAGTGAGAGGCTGTGGGGGGGAGGAGGAGGGCAGGGGGAGCGAGAGGAGCAGCAGGGAGGAGGAAAGGGAGGAGGAGGAGGAGGAGGAGGAGGAGGAGGAGGAAAAGGAGGAGGAGGATGAGGAGGAAGAGCGAGAAGAGTCGAGAAGCGCACAGAAGGACTAAGGCGCGTGGATTAGCGCCGGGCCACTCTCCCATGCAGCATTGAAGCGCTCCGTCGCCGACTCGGGCGGCGCTGGCGCTGCGTTTCGGGGGGCACGCTCCCCAAGCCGTGGGTCCAGCGCCCACGCGCCAGGCCCACGGATCTGTAACCCGCATTCGCGTGTGCCCGAGAGTGTCGGGCGGGGAGAGGCGAGAGACGAGGAGAGCGGGTGAAGGAATGAGAAAGGCTCGGGCCGAACGAAAGGGGGGGATAGGGAAAGGGGGGGTTACGAAATCTGCCGCGTGCAGCCGGTTTCGGCCCCGCCGCCGGGCCCGTGCCTCGATACAGGGGCGCCTCCCGGCGCCGGGAGGCGCCGGGAAAATCAGCTCCGTGAGCTGATTCTCAAACCCTCCCTTTGCTGTCCCCCCCTTTCGCCCAGCCCGAAAGGGGGCGGGGGCAACATTTTTTTCGTGGCGGGCGGCAGTGAGGGCCCCCCCGGAGGAGACGGCTCGTGCAGATGAAGGCGCCCCGCCCGTGCTCTCGCTCTCGCACTCCCCGCTCTCCCGGCACCTCCGCTTCCTCATCCTTCTGTCCTCCTTCTCCTCCTCCTCCTCCTCCTCCTCCAGCCCCATTCTGTGTCGAGCCGCGATTCAGTGGGCCCATGCAGGGGGTCCCCGCCTTGAACATCCCAGCGACACAATCTAGTTCAGGAGGGGCCCTGCACCGCCCTATCGAACTCCCCAGGGTACAATCATGCGCTGCAAGTTTTTTGGGTTCAATGTGTGCAGCCTGATCCAGCCGCGGAGGCTGGACGAGATCGCGCTCCTGGCGCGTGGCTTCCCTTTCCACTTCTTGCTGGGCACCCGCCTGCGGGCGGTGCCGACGGAGGCGGTGCGACGGCAGGCGCAGATCGGAGACCACGACTACTACCACTTCGGCTACGGCAGGGGGCCCTTCACCAACAGAGCTGCGGGCGTCACCATCGGAGTACGACGCCGAGACCTGGGGCTGCGTGTGCACCGCGTGCTGCCTGGGCCTGCTGCCGCGCTGGGCCGCGCTGGGATGGTGCGGGTGGTCACTGGTTCTCTTGATGTTACGGCTATCGCGCTCTACTTCCCGCCGCCTGGCCCGCGCTCGGGGACGGCCACCTGGCGGCGCACGGTCGACGTGCTCCTCGAGTGGCTAAACGGACTGCTGGACACCACCCCCGAGCGCTCTACCCCAATCATCTTCACGGACCTGAACGACTCGTTCGCGGTGGACGAGACCAGTGGCTCTTTCAGCTGCATCGGGCCCTACGTGCAGGCCCGCATGGGCTACGCGGCTCGAGGGCTCCGAGAAGTGCTGCACCGACACCATTTCGCTTGCGCAACCACCTTCTACAAGATTGCTCCTACGTACAATGGCGAGAAGTCGTCTACCTGGATCGACCACTTCGCCCTGCCTGCTGGAGCCCTGCCGCGAGTGTCAAAGTTGATCACCATGACTAAGGCGGCCAGGCAGCTCCAGCTCTACCCATCCAAAGGGATACTGCGAGACCACTCCCCTGTGCTCCTGGAGGCGGACCTGGGCGTCCCGAGCTTGCGGTCTTCGCAGATTTCGGCCTCCTGGAACTTCGATGCCATAGAGACCGCGCTGCAGACGCCTGGCCTGCGTGAGGGGTTCCTGGAAGAGGCCAACCTGGCCCTGCAGCGCGCGGCGCCCTCGTACCTGGGGTACTTCGAGAACAACATGATCGACGCGGGCTACGCTTCTTTCATGGACGCGCTGGCGCCGATCGCCAAGAAGCATTTCGGCAGGGCCAGGCGGACTCCAGGCACCGAGCTGGCGCAACACCGTCTCCAGGTACGACGCCTTCTCCGTGGGCGTGCTGTGCTGCGCGCCATGGGCCTCCCTCACTGCCACTATGATTTTCAGATCCGCGACCTCACGAATCGCATCAGGTGGGAGGTCCGACGGTGGACACGATCGCTGCGCAGGACTTGGACTGAAGGCATACATGAGGCCTGGCGCAAACGTGATCTCGCCAGCGTGCAATACTTCTCTCGTAGATTGACGGGCACTGGACTGGGACCCAAACGGCGTAGCTACGCGGCGGTGCGCAGGCACGTTGCATCGGCGGATGAGCTCGCGGGCACCCTGGGCCTTCCTGGTTCGGAGGGCGGTCTCTCTGCGGTCCCAGTCCAGTTAGACATTTTTTTGCTGCTGCGGGCTTCTTTGGCTCCTCAAGGGATGGGTGAGCGGGATTCGGCGGGGGAGTTGGGAGCCAGAGACCTTCGAAGAGCTTCGTGGGTGCTTCGCAAGGCTTCGCGTAGACGTTCCGTTCCTGCCTGGTCTCTTCCTGGCGAGATTTGGCTTATGCTTCTCCTGCCCAAGTATTATAGTAAGCCACGTATTTCTCCCTTCGGAGTTGGCGGAAAGCCCGAGCCCCCTGAGGTAGAGGCCATCAAGATAGGTTTGGGAAGTCTGGCCACGTGTTGGCGGGCGGTGGGGAGGTTTCCTACGTGTGCTGGGTTTTCTCTCGGATGGCAGACTCCCAAACCTGACGGCGGCGCTCGATTTCTGCACGGCCTCTGCCCCTTCTTTAGAGCGATCGCCAGGGGCATGTATCGGGCGGTCCCACACGCTGCGCCTGCCGAGTATGACCACGGATGCATCCCTCGGCGCAGGCGAGAGAATGCTATCTTGGGCACGCACATCTTGGCGGATCGCTTGCGTAGCGCACGCGTGTGGCACATTGCTGTTTTCGATGACATGAAGAACGCTTTCGGTTGTTGCGAGCGCAAGCGCATGAATCAAGGACTTTTAGAGTATTTGCCAGCAGGGGATGTAGACCTGCTCAGCGACAGACGCACCACGCACCTTCTTCACCTCGAGGGCGTAGATCGACCCACCACCCTCCACCTCCAAAGCGGGGCCTTGATGGGGGACCCCAGTGCGCCCGACGAATTTCGAGTTGATTTTGCTCGCCCCCTCCAGGAGTGGCTCGCCCAGTTTCAGGACCCTGCTCTGTGCGCGTCGTGCCCCGTTTTCGGGCGCGAGGTCTATGCGGGCCTTTTCAAATACGTGGACGATCTGGCGTACTTTTTGCTACTCCAGGAGGGGGCACTTTCCGAGGCCGTCGCCGCAGCGCGCGACGCCCAGACTAAGCTCGGCAATGCCCTGGCTGCGTATGGATACAAGCAAAACACGTCGAAACAAGTTTTGGTCCCCCGCCTTTGTGGATACAAGGCCACTCGCCAGTTTTATGCGGCGGAGGTCGGTGGGGCCCGCGTGGCCCCGCACACCAGGTACTTGGGACCGCAGTTTTTGCCCTCTGGCGCCTTTTCCCATCAGCTGGCACTGAGTAAAGTAGCGGCCGACAGGGGGTGGATGTCTTTCAAGTATTTGTGGACCTCGGGGGCCCCGTTTAAGGTGAAGAGGCTAGTATTCATATCCGTGGTGCAAGGTGCGCTTTTGTCTGGACCTACACCGTATCTCCTCACGAGCTCCCAAGAGGCCCAGCTGGGCATCGCGCTCTTGGGTAAAATCCGACGTATTGCTGCGGGGGCTTTGTGTGACCGATCTGGAGACCATCCCATCATTAAGGACTCTCGGGATGTCTGGAAATGGATGAATATTGTTCCGTCGGGGGTCGAGTTGTTGGTTCAGCGACTTCGATGGTACCAGGCCATGGTTAAATGGCCCGAAGAACATTCCCAGGTCATCAGCCTCCTCTTCGGTCGCCTCGGCTTCGAGAATGCCCCCACCTTGTCCGAGGGCCGCCTCACCGTTCACGCCAACCCGTTCGCCGTTCGTTTCGTGACTGACGTTTACAGGCTCGAGCTTCTAACTGATTATGAAGACTGGCGCTCCGTCTGGGGCGAGGACATCCATGCGCTCTTCCATGACGACTACATATCGCATCAGTTTCTGGCGGCTGATGTTTCTGCTTTGCGCAAGATCTGGCAGAGCGGTAAGACTGAGCTGGACGCTATCGATTTTGGACCCTGCCTCTCCGCCTCACAGGATGGGATTGAGGAATTCTTGGGCCCCTCTGGCTGCGTGCACGTTTGCAGATGCACTACAGAAGATGGAGACGTTTGTGGCGCCCGCTTCTTCACCCATGCTGCTCTCGTCGCGCACCAGACCCACACCCAGGGCGGCTCTCATGGCAACTTCTCCTGCTATGCCAGATGTGTCGTCACGAACCAGTGTCCAGCGTGTCGTACTTCCTTTGCTTTTCAGAAGACCGCGAAGGCTCATCTCTGTCGGGCCTTTCGTCGGGGAGTTTGTGTTATTCACAGCGCGCATGCACTGCATCCCGTGGTCGTCCCCAAGCTTGTTTGTCCAGTGTGCGCCACGTCTTCGTATTTCGATTTGGCTCAGCTCCAGGATCACATTTGCGAGCGGCACCTGCCTTTCTTACCTGAGCGACGGGCTGGCGATGGCGAACCCCAAGCCCAAGCGGATGCTGGAGAAGCGGCCGCCTGGTGCAGAGGCAGAGGGCGCTCCCGTGCAGGCCAAGGCCAAGGGCGGCCCCCCGCAGAAGGACAAGGGCGGCAAGAGCTCCACCCCCAACCCAGGCTCCGCCTCCGACGCGGCCGCGGCCAACGGGCCCAACAGCAAGCAGCAGCGCAATCGGCACCTCGGGCAGATCAAGGACATGGGATTCACCAAGAAGCAGGCCAACTTCATCAACGTGATGGTGAAGCAGACGCTCATGACGACCCAGTTGGTGCGCGAGCTGTGGGCAGCGGGGGTGGACACGTACTTCCTGACCGCCGACCTACCAGAGATCGAGGCCGCACAGGAGGCAGGGGCGACGTATTCACACGAAGTCCGAGCCCGAGGCAAAGGCCACCAGCTCGGTCCTCCTCACCTTCATATATTCAATGGGTTCGTGACCAAGTTGCTCGAGCGTGGGCTCGCGCTGGGGCAGAGGACTCACGCGATGCTCAAAGATTGGCACGGCAGAGTGTGGTGCGAGCTGCAGCCTCACGACCTGTACGACATGGTGCGCCTGTTTCGGGTCACGAAGTGCTACGACCAGAACAAGAGGAAGCTCCACCTGATGATGAGGGACGTCTCGCAGCCGAGCGTACCGCCCGAATCAGACGAGCAGCCGCTGCCTTCGCCCTTGATGGTCCGCGGGTTGCTGCAGAAGGCACTAGAGGAAATCGGCGGGCGCAGGGCTCTGGGCGCGGCGCCACCAGGCGCAATGGAGGAGATACTACAGAACGCGGTAGACGCAAAAGATAGCAGGTGAGAATGCCATCGTGAGCATTCGTTTCATATCCGCAGCGTGGGGCAGGCTCATCTTCCATTTCGGCCTCCTCCCCAAGGCGCTGCGCTACGTATCGGACGGTGGCCGCGTGATGTGATCATCTGATGACGGATCGTAGTCGCCTCTCACCAGTTTCACGCTACCGCGAGGTCCGCCCCCCCTGTTGGCCCATACTCGTTGCGAATATGGCTGACGCCTTAGCTGTCCTTGCTCCCTGGGGTCTGTTCGTGCCTTACGCGCCGGTGCGCGTGACCCTGGGGCCCAGCCTACAGGCCTGTCGGGGCCCGCTGGGCCCCTTCTGAACTTCGTGACTTTTTTAGTCGTCCGACGGGTGCGCTCTCGTACATATTACACGCCTGTGTGTTTCACTTGCAAACCCACGAGTTTTACACGCTTTACATATACGAGCTTGCCGCACGCTGTTCAGTCCGCCTCGGCACAGCAGGGACAGGGAGAGATGCGGGCCCAGAGTCGTCTTTCATTCATTCACTCCTCCTCCTCCTCCTCCTCCTCCTCCCTCCTCTTCCTCCTCCTCCTCCTCCTCATCATCATCATAATCATCATCATCATCATCACCACCATCATCATCATCATCGTCATCGTCGTCGTCATCGTCGTCATCATCATCATCATCGTCATCATCATCATCATCATCAGCATCATCATCATCATCATCGATTACTTTCCTGATCATTATATTTGTCCTCCCCTTTGCCTCGCCTTTCCTCCTTCGCCTTCTGCGTATCCTTCCTCCTCATCCATGTTGTCCTTCTCTTTTCTCCCTTCTCCCCTTCCCTCGTCACCCCTGGACCTTCGGGATCAGACAGGCAAGGCTGGTGTCCTCATGGCAAGTCGCGGGGAACGCGGGGGTTACGCATGGCTAGGATTATGATCAACCCCCAATCGAGCTGCCCGCCCTTTCACAAAACTCTGGCTGTGCTCCTCTGCATGCGTGGGTGGCGGTACCTGCAGTATATGGTCTGCTTGTAGACTTCAGGCGGCACCTGTCGCACGCGCGCCCTCTGCCGTGGTACATTGTGCCAGGGGGCAGTCTTTGCCCGCCCCGATCTTGTTCTCAAGCGTTGTGGAGGACGACCAATGGAGAGGCAGCATGTTGCCAAATAGTTTCCAGATGTCCAAAACATGTATACATGTTTCAAGCATGTAGAACACATGTTAAAAACATGTATTGAACATTTTCCGACATTTCGAACACATTTTAAATTCAATGATAGGACTGTCAGGGTGTCCATTGTCGTGGCATCCACAACTCAAGTGCACTGGCGGAATTTGTATTGCAAGCGCATGGGTTGCAGGGCTTGCGCGGCCGATCTCCCTGGCTGACTGGGAGGCCGAATGTGCCACCCTGGGCGTTCGCCGCAGAAACAGCGACGCTCCATAGCGGCAAATCCACTCTTGGACGCGAAATTCGTTTTCCCTGAAGGGCTGGGGCAAGCGCTGCAAACCCCTCAGGGGCCCAAGGTGGTGAGGGAAGATTTGGATGCTGGGGATATGGAGGACCTGCGCCCCGCGACCCACGAGTTACAGTCGTTTTGGCTCGAGCGCGTATGGGTCCCTTGCTTCGGGACAGGTATTTGTGAGGGTACTGTGGTGCAGAGCGGCGCTCCGCCTGTAAGCCTAGGTCGACCTGTTCACTATAAGTGCCTACAGGCCAATTGTGGCACCATGCCTTTGCCACGTGGTGGCAACTCCATACCGTCGCTGTTCCAAGCCACTTCCGGCGCAGTGACGTTCTGTTCCGGAAATCGTGATTTCCCCTGGTAGGTTCAGTTGCAAGGGTGATTTCCCAGGGGCCCTGGCAGGCAGGGCCATGTGCACTCGTTTCCGTATCCGATGCAGCTCAAGGCAAAAGCATCCGCTTGCTCCTGCTGCTGCTATACGGCGCCGGGCAGCGGCGGTTCTGGTAGTGCTGCCCGCGGGACAGGTGTCGGTCGTGCACCTTGCTGGTTCAGCTTGGGCCGCGCCCTTGTCAGTGGCGCGGACCTGTGTCCTGCACCAGCCAGCGCGCAGCTGTCCGCCTGCAGCGTTGTGATCGCCGGGTGCTTGTGCACCGTAAGGTTTTGTACGGGGGCGCAGAGAGGAAAGAGGAGGAGGAGGAGGAGGAGGAGGAGGTGGAGGAGGAGGAGGAGGAGGAGGAGGAGGAACGAGGACGAGGCCAAGGAATTAGGAGGGAGGTAGAAGGAGGAGGGGGAGGAGGAGGAGGAGGAGGAGGAGGAGGAGGAGGAAAGTCACCAACTTGGACCACCCTCAGATCCTCCGTTCTAAATGCACATCGGTGCTGCGGCGGTGGCGCGCTGAGATGGCGTGCCCCTCGTAGCCCCGCGCAGGGAGCGCGAGGCTCCGACGAAGAGATGCCGAATGTCGACCAGAGGCCGCAAGGAAGCCCTGCCACGGCTCGCTGCCAGGCTCGCGAGGGGCCCCTGCAGAGCAGGGGGGGGGGGCCACACGCGAACCCCGCCCCTGCCCCACGCGATCTCCGAGGGGGAGGGCGGGGTTCCCTTCTCTCGGGAGCTCCCGAACGAAGTGAACCCCCCCCCCTCCCCCCCCCCCAGAACTCGTGCGGGGCAGGGGCAGGGTTCGCGCGTGGCCCCCGAAACCGCCTGCCCGTCGCCGGGGCCGCGCGCGGGCCGGAGCGGGCAGGGCCCAGCGTCTGCAGCCATGGTCGGAGCGCCCCAGGGCCCAAGGGCTCCCTCGAGGGCGCGAAGTTATTCGCGCTTCGCGCTTCGCGGTCCTCGTTCCTTCTCCCCCTCCTCCTCGTCCTCCTATTCTCCCTTTGGGAGGGCGGCGCGAGAGCGCGAAATTATTCGCGCTTCGCGCTTCGCGCAGCGCGAAGCGCGAAGTTGGGAGCCCTAGGGGCCGGGCTCGCGCGTCCACGTGGCGCGCGGCCACGCCTGGGCGCCATGGTGGGGCTCCTCTCGGGAGCCCGTCGACACGCACGAGGATCGCCCTGCGCTGTGGCTGCTCCGCCTCGCTGCCCTCCTCCGCCTCCGCCGTGCTCCCTGCTCCCTGCTCGCCGTGCTCCCTGCTCCGCCCGCTCTTCTGTGAGAGAGTGCCACGGCGGATCGCCACTTGTTCGGCGCCGCTGCTTCACGCTGCTCTCTTCGCTCTCTGCTTCAGACTCAGCGTGTCGTGGAATGTCGCCGAACGGGTTTCACGTTTAA